GTTTGGGTCCACGGCTTGCTGCCGCTGCCGCCGCCGCAGGGGTGCTGCCTGCGGCGGCGGCGGTAGCGCACGTGGCAACCCCCCGCGTTTCCTTGCCTCCCATCCACCGGACCCCGTCCTGCGCTTCACTTTGTTTAGGGAGGGGCTGCTCACTGCTCATTGCTCATTGCTCATCGCACACTGCTCAACGCTCATTGCCCTATATCCCACCCAGCCGCAGGACTCCACTGCCGCCCGCGCCCCGCCCCATCTGGCCGCTTGCGCGCCCCATCCCCCCTCGATGGGGCCCGCCCACACCGGGGCCTCCCCCCTCCCGCCCACTGCTTTCTCAACGGCCCCGAGCCGGGGCTGCCCTCATTGCATACATAGTGCGCCTTTCCCTGCTTTTCTAGTGACCTAGCGTTCCGCACTGCCGTTTGGCCAGCCCATGCTCCCGTACCGTTGCGTTTCTCCCCAATGCGCCATGCCACTTTGCCAGTCATACACACGTTTCGATGCGTGCCCTGTCAGCTGCTTGCGTTGCGTGTCGCCTTGCTCCACCCCTGTTTTATTGCTTTCTCTGCTTTCGCCCGGTTCCCGTCCCGTTTCGGCGGGGAGTCTATGTTGCAAGCTAGTTCTTGCTTTACCAGACTTTAAGCCCACACAAGCACAAGCAAGCATGCTTGTACAAGGTGGGTCGGCGCCGACTACATGCGCAACCCGATATATGGCATTGCGCCCAAGCAGTGCTTGCAGCCCTGCAAGCTGAGATGGAGGCCGAGCTCGGACCCGTAGAGAACACCGCAGAGGGGCCGGCCCGAGGACACGGAGGAAAAGGGATGTTGTGCAACGCTACCGCACAAGATGTGGAAGAGGCCATGCGCACCCTGAGGGAGCAACTGCTAACACCACCAACGGCAACGCATCCAACCCCAGCGGGCGAACCCAACGCCGAGAGCGCAGGGCACTCGCAAACTGCCCCGGCCACCTCCATGCCCACCACACCCATGAGCTCAGTTATGACGGCGCTCCAGCAACGTCTACACGCAATCAGGATGGAGCGTCGCACCTTGCTCCGTAAGGACAAACTGCAGAGCTGGGAACGCGCCGCCGCCGCGTGGCGGGCGAAATACGCCCGCCAGCCAAAGTGGGGCCACAGAGATATTGCTAACCGGGACGCCGATAAGCCTCGTGGCATTGAGGTGCTACGTGACCCATCCACGAAACAACTCACCTCTGAACCCCAAGAGAGAGTTGTTGCGCATCCTGCGCGGCCAGCGCCAAAAAACGGCGACGGCGCCGGCTGCAGGAAAAACGGGACACTACTGCGCTGATGCGCCCGTGGCAGGATCACGAGGGTACCCGTGGGAAGCGGCCGACGCAGTGGATAGAATGCAAGTGAGCACCCGGGTTGACCCCCATAGCCGCAGGGAGGACCTGCTGCCCAGAATTAAGGACTACGGAACCTTTGAGAGCATTCTCAGGAGGGCAGCCAACAACAAAGCACCAGGGCCCGACGAGGTGCCCAATGAGCTCCTGAAATTCCTGCCTGAGCAGCTCCGCCGTGGCATCCACCAGATGTTCGTGGCAATGTGGCTCACGGGAGATACACCCACCGCTTGGAAGCATAGCAACACCGTGATGTTGTACAAAAAAGGAGACCCGACAGACCCCGCCAACTACCGCCCGATCGGCCTGGCACTCACTATCTACAAGCTGTGGACAGCGCTAATCACAGGAGTCCTCTCCGAGTACGCTGAGCGTCACGCTATCCTCACCGACTCACAGGCTGGGTTCCGGCATGGCCGCAGTACCCACCAGGCCCTCTTCAGCGTGTTGAACGCGCTAGAGGACGCCAAACTCTTTGACCGCGACATCTACATGCTCTACATCGACTTCAGCGCTGCATTCGACACGGTGGACCACGACAAGTTGTTGCCATACCTGAATTGGCGGAAGCGCTCCTGGAGCGCCATGTTGCCTCGTACACGCATGCATCCGTGAAGGTGCAGCGGTACATTGAGGACGTGTGGGGGGGCAGCATCTCTGCGGAGGCCTACACGCCTGCGTCGTTCCTGTGCGATGTGCCCGAGCGCCGGCGCCGGGTGCGCCTGGCGCAGTGGCGCACGGGGTCGCACTGGATGGCTGAGGAGACAGGCCGGTGGCAGCGGCTGGACCGCACCCAGCGCCCATGCCCCCACTGCCAGGCCCCTCTAGAGGACGTACGCCACGCAGTGTATGACTGCCCCCTATACGCTGGGCTGAGGGAGGAGTATGCTGAGCTCTTCCACAGTCCCGGCCACGCCTTGCCCTCCCTGGCCGCCTTCCTCGGCCAGGCCAGGCAGGGCCGGCTGGCCCGGTTTGCCGACCGGTGCCATGAGGAGCATGCTGCTGCCCTGGCACAGTGACTCCCCCGGTTCCCTTGAGTAGGGCCCAGGCATCTTTTGCCCGGCCTTGGCTCCCGACCCACCCCCTCCCCCCGCAGGTAAGAGCAGCGTCAG